TGGAATTAGGGGATGATATACCTATCAAATTAAAGATCTATGAGTCTAGTTTCCAACTCATTAAACCGTTCATCAATACGACATTGGAGTAGAGAGATATAGGCATTTTTGCGAGACTGCACAAGCTTCTAGGTGACAAGTAGGTGTGTCACCTACTTGGTTAAATGATAGCCCAAAAATAGGACTGTATAGACGGAGCAGGTGGTCGAGGGTAAACCGATGAGACTCGATGTTATTCACAAAATAACGGATTACGATCCTCGAAAGAGACGGGTGGATTTGCCCCAGGCACACCTCGTATATCTTACAAAAATCTAAAACGACTGGGTCTACCGGGCCTAGTGTAAAGGGATAAGTGTAAACACTTAAATACCCCTCCACGTGGGTAGTAATAGCATCCTCGGGCTCGGGGACTACTACATCATTGCCTTCCCATTTACCGTCTTCTAGGACCACGGGAAGGACATATTCGGTAACAGAGCATATATACCTCGATGCTCCTTCACCCCGCCTGTTTGGATGAGGGTTTCTCGACCTTGAAGTTATCCGCAATTGAAAAGCCCCCAAAAATAAACATTTTCAAGGGGGCTCGGGTGCCGGTTTGGTGGCAGCTACTTCAGAAGTGGCCGTCTCGAGGACAACTATTTTGGGAGTGACCGCCTTGGTACCGGCGGCCGGTTGGGTAGATGAAGAGGCAGCCTGTTGAGGAACTGGTTTAGACATTTTAGCCATTGCTATCTGTAAAAGTTTGAAAATTTAAAGAAAAAATATGAAGGTTTGGAAGAACAAGTTTGAAGACTGAAGAACAGAGTATGAAGATTTGAAGAAAATCTAGGTAAGAACCTAAGCACAACTATGAGAATTTGAAGATTAAGGATAAAGATGTGAAGGTTTGAAGGAAGTTGGTGATAGCTAGAGAATTCGAAGGTAGAAGCTTGAACGGAAAGTGGAAAAAGAACAGGGGATAGAAGCTTTTATAGGGGAAGTTCGCAACGCTTTGCATTCGGAGGCAACCAGCCAATGGTTGACACGTGTTCGAAGTCAGAACAAGGCAACTGGCGGGACATTTCAATTTCTTCGTTGTTTCTGTCGTAACGTACGGAGCAAGGAACTGGAGAACATCTATCGTTTCTCATCGTTTCGACGAACCAACTCTCTGTCAAATGAAGAGACTATCTGTATACGGGTAAAATCGGGGCTAATGAGCACCCCGATTTCCCAGTGGGGCAAACGAAGCAAGGACGTAACTAAAAGGAATCAAAATCGAAGCTAGGAGCCTCTCGTATCAAGGCCCGAACAAAACACCTGCCCTCGGAGCCATCAAGACCATGCCCGTCGGATCCGGTTCGAGCTCCAAGACCTCGGAAAGCATTACCTGACGTCCGCACACGATTAATAAATGGCCGTGATATCCGTTCCCGACCGGATATCACGGCGTGGATCTCGGCCCGTATCGGCACCAGATCAGTGATTAACGAAAAAGAAGATTTTGACGTTTCCAAAAGCTGTACTAGGGGTGAAACTCTCCTACTATATAAAAGAGATAAGTTTTATTCAAGGGAGACACTGTAACATGCATACCAAGGCAATATATATTTATTTTCTCTGCTTCTAAAAGTTATTCAAAGTTTTTATTTTTTCTCATAGTTCTTCATAAGTGTTTGGCTCCGAACCGAAGGCAGGCTAATTGTTAAGCTCATAACCAAGCTCGGACTCAATACTACTACTGGTTTGGCTGTTTATTCTATCTTTAATTTGCTCATCTAACGTTATTAATCACTTGTATTGAATTAATTGATCACATATCCTTAAAATCGCGTATAAATTCAATTGTTATCCACATTTAAGGATAAACAAATATAATAGATAGTGCTTCTCTTTTAGCGGGTCTTGTGGACCGAAAGTCCAAATTAGTTAGGATCTCGAAATAGATATTGAAAAAAAAAAAGAGTTTGCAAGACTAGCATTGAAAATTAATAAAAGGCAGTGCTAAGAATGAGCCAAGACAAACTAGATCGATCGAGCTTCAGGTACAATGCATCTAACTCCTCCTCAGTGTTAGAGCAAATAAAGAAAAGCATGACATTCCAAATCTCTTAACTGTTGCCAGAGAAGAGGGATAGCGACTGCTATAAGTTATCTATATGTGATGTTTTTTGTAGGGATTCCTTGCTAGCTCCTGGTGTTCCCTCTTAGTTTTTAATTAAATTTTTTTCCATATATATATATATATATATATATATATATATATATATATATATATATATATAGACACTCTAATTAAAAGATCTTAAGCAACATGTGGAGTGGCTCCACGCGCATATAACTAATTCTTTCAACATTATGAAGATGACTAATCGAACTAATGATGATATACGAGTAACAACAAAAAAATTGCTCTACTAAAATAGAGAACATGAAGCTGAACTTAACATGAATGTTTACAACAACATAACCAATATAATGCAAATGTAGATGTTCATAATAGGCGAAGATATGCTTATTGTCTTTGAAGCGATATATATATATATATATATATATATATAGATCCATAATTTGAAATGGATTACAGTAATCTCAAGTTAATATCCAATATAATTGAATTTATAGTTAAATATGTATGAATATTTAGCAAATTTCTTAATACAGAATCTGGGTTCAAACTACTAGGTTTACGTAAACTCATATGCTGTGACGACATTATAGATCCGCCTCTGAATATATACAAGGTACATAATATATGTATGTACAAGTCTGCAATTACTTTTCAAAAAAAAAGTAAAAGTAATGTATATAGTGATTAATTCTGAATTCTTGTATAATATTGATAGGAGTAGAATGATAGTCTAATGCAGATGGTGCATGTGTATGAGATGGGAGTAGAAGTCACTTTGTAGAAGAAAGGGGATGAATATTGAGGACAAGAACATGAGGTAATGGCAAATTGTTGACAATGTTTGTAGAGCAGAATAGTTTGGCTTAAGGGATAAATAAAGTGTAGAGTAGTAGAAATGTACACGAAACGGTTGGGGCGGGGTCTAACGTCCACCTACTTAAAACATGTGATATGTTGGCTAAGCTTTAGTGTTGTAGGACCATTTACCCATACTCTCAACTCAAACCCCAACACTTAACCATTCCCACACACAAGAAAAGTTGATAATGATAAATGATGGAAATATATATACTCCTATTTGACATGACAGGCCTCTTGAGAAATATCCAGCCCCATAGCCATATTGGTGGTGGCACGTCTTCTTCACTTGTTGTCGTGGACCCCCTTCTCCCCTATTTCCCTATAAATTCTATAGCCTTTATTAGCTTTCTAACCATCAAATTTAGGTCACGCAACTGCTTTTAGTTAGGTATTTGCTTGAATTTTGATCACCCTTCTTTTCACGTTAAGGTAGGGGCCGAATCCAATGTTCCCATAGTAATACATCCAATATATAAATTAAATCTTTACAGAAATAATCTGCCAATCCAATGTTTCATAGTAATTACGTATCAACTTTTTCTAGTCACTATATATAAATTAACTCTCTCTCTCTATATATATCGGACATTTTTAGTTTAACCGATGATTAACGGGCTATTTGGGTTCCGTATGATATTACTTTAAAACTATTTACTTTAACATCTACATCTACTTATGTACTGTAGTGAGAGGTGAGGGCTAATAGAAGAAAACCCCAAAAAAGAATGAATGATTATTGTTGAAGTTGAAGTAGATTCACACTTGATAACTTCTCACGACTAGTTCTTTTTCTCTATTTGATTAACAATCATTATCTTCATCATTAACAAAAAAGATGCATGGTTAAAGATTAGGAGAAAAGATAAACGACAGAAAAGGGTAGCTATAAACTAATTAACTTGTTGTATGGAAAAGGAGGTTAATAAAAGGTAAGCGTAGAAAGTTTTTAAGGAGCTTTTGCTTTAATTTCACGTTTCATGACAAGGAAAAAGGCAAACGGCACTGTTTGTTTTGTTTAGTAAGTAGGGAAAATGGGTATGAGAAAAAAGGGGAAAGGAATAACGTGGAGAAGGCTAGAGCCGTGCAAAAGTAGTTGATATATAGATTACTTAAAAAGGGGATAATTTAGAAGGAAAAAGAGTCATTGTCTTAAACAGAAGACGCACACGAGGGCCTGGAAAAGCACCAAAACTACAAAAGATGTGGTTCCCCCCCCGCACGTGTATTCGCTCCTCCCTTTTTCTTTCACAGGAATATCATTCCCTCTTTCCCCAACTGTTGTACTCATTTTCCGTTGAAAACATCTGTTGCAAATTGGAACTGCTATTAAGAAAAATAAAAATATATAGTTTTTGTCATTTTTAACCCCGCTGTAGAAACTATTTATATTTATAACATATAATGTATATATATACAAAAAAATTATTTTTTCGGCTATTATTTTAAAAGCGGCTATACAATGACATTTTCCTAAAAACCATATGTATAGGTGTTTGGACATAAAAATTTTACTTTTTGAAAAAAAGTAGTTTTTGGAGTTAATTTGAAAAATGATATTTGAAATTTGAAATTATATTTGGACATGCATTTCACTTAAAAATATTGCAATTTTGTGAGTGGAGAAAAATTTTTTTTTGAAAAATTTGGAAAAATGGTCAAAATCACTTTTTGATTTTTGAAATACTCCTTTTCAAAAAAAAAAAAAAAAACTCCAAAAACTTACAAAATTTTATGGACAAACACGATTTTGAAAAAAAAAATCGAAAAAAAGAAAAAAAAGTTTTATGGGCAAAGGAGCCCGTAGTGGTACTTATTTGTCATAAGAAATTTAAATTTTATACGACATTGTCAAGAATATTTAAAATTTTAGTATTTTTTTTTTGGTAATTCACAATATTATTAATCACCAAAGAATCAAATTACATCGTATAGTGGCCAGCTCGGGCTATACACAACTATATCCTGTACTCCTATCCTCAACAGACTATTTTACCTCGTCTCTACACACTTTGCTTTTATACCCTTATAGAAGTCTTTGCTGTAGGACTTCTCTAAGCTTGCCTACAGCCTGTATATTACAAGTGTATGCTATCTCTCTAATGATGCTCTTATTATCTCTATGCACCTTATCAAATACTCTATGGTTTCTTTCATTCCATACACGGTACAAAGTTTCAGCTAGAACCATTCGCAAGAGCTGCCCTTCAACAGATTTCTTCTTCGCTTTCTCCACAAACCAGGCTACTAAGTGATCCCACATCTTTATTTGCACCTGGATATGTAACCAATTGAAAATTCCTGCCCATAATCCAGTGATGATAGTACATTCGCAGAATAGATAAGCATGCGTCTCTGGATGATTTCCACAAAAAATACATGTTGGATCTACATTAATGTTCCATTTGATCAGCCTGTCAGTTGTCAGCATTCTTTCCTGTATGATTAGCCACATGGAGAACAGTGCTTTAGGTCTAGCTAGATTCTTGAACATGATTGCTTTCCACTCAACTTTAGCTAATGATCCAATCTGTTGTAAGTATAGCTGTTTGATCTTACTGCCTTTGCCATTATCTCCCTGCATCTGTGGATTTGGACCAGCAACAGTCATGATCTTTTGAACCGTCCAACTCGCTTGCTTTGGCACTTTGATAGTAGCTAAAGGGTGCCCTTTTATATAATACATATGAACCCATTTGATCCATAATCTGTCTGCCTTTGTTGCTAAGTCCCATTGTAGCTTGAGAATGGCTGCTTTATTCCAGCTTTTGAGGTTCAGGATGTTCAGCCCTCTAGCACTCTTGGGTTGACAGACTTTGTCCCAAGATATTAATGCACGCTTGGTAATGACATTAGTTCCTGACCACATGAAGCTTCTACAGTATGCTTCAATAAGCTTGATCAACTTGGATGGCATCAGGAATATTTGAGATCAATAAGCTTGTACTCCAAAAAGTACAGTTCTAATAAGTTGAACTCTACCAGCGTATGACAACTTTCTTGCAGTCCAGGATGATATTTTAGCTACTATTTTGTCAATCAGTGGTTGCCATTGTGTCACCTTCATCTTTTTGGTAGTAAGAGGGACCCCCAAGTACTTAAATGGTAGTTCACCTTGTACATACCCCAGTTGTTGGATGATAATATCTTGATCTACCTTGCACACTCCACCAAAGTAGATTAAACTCTTGTTGAGATTGGCTTTTAGTCCAGATGCTGTGGAGAACTGATCAAAGCATTGCTTCAGCATTGCAACAGATTGATTATCACCCCTAGCAAACAATAACAGATCATCTGCAAAGCTCAAATGAGTAATGCCCAGTTTCTTGCACTTTGGATGAAAATGGAATTGCTTTTCATTCTTCATATCAGTGAGAAGTCTACTTAGATATTCCATTGCTAAAGCAAATAAAAATGGGGATATTGGATCACCCTGTCTGAGGCCTTTAGCGGCATGGAAAGGTTCAGTTAGCTCACCATTTATCAAGACAGAATAACTCACACTATGCATACAGGATGACACCCACTAAGTGAATTTATGAGGAAACCCCAGACCTTCCATGACTTGTATCACATAGCTCCATTCCACACTGTCATAAGCTTTTTGCAAATCTACCTTGATCATACATCTAGGTGATATATGTTTCCTTGAATAAGCCTTAATCAGTTCATGTGCTAAAATGATATTATCAGCTCCTTTTCTTCCAGGAATGTTAATGAATATAAAATGACACGTTACAATTGCGATGATAGTGAAAATTTCTTTTACAATTTCAAAGTATGTAACTTAAATGCTAAAGAGAAAACTGTTATTACACTGTATTTATAAAATAAATTCTGGAAATATAAATGAATATAAACAGTAATGAATATAAACAGAAATGACATAAACCAATTCGAGCCCACTGAATTCACAGTGTTTCCTTAAGGAATTTAATCCCCTCCTAGTACCCAAGGTTATGGATTATTTCCTCCCAGGATAGAACGAATTACACACTGGTGTAGTGGTACTTCAAACCCTAGTGTTTCAGCGAACACAAAGTTCGGTAGCAAATCACACTTACTTTTTGCTTTGTTTTGATGCTAAAAGTATGCAGAAGAAGGAGAGGAAACTCAGAAAATTGTAGTTAAAATTCTGAGCAGAATAGTGTTGTATTTATAGCTAAAGTTGGGTCTCTTCAGAATGGCTGTTTATGCAAAACGCCCACAACATAAATGCCATTACATAAATGGCCATTTACTCAATAATAAAGAGGGAAAATAAAGAGGGAAAATTGAAGAGGGTAGTTACTTTTCTGTTACCAAAACAGAAAAACGGATTGGATTTAATATTAATATTTAATATTAATATTTTGTTATTAAAACAAATATTTAATAACATTTCTGTTAATATTTTACTATTAACAAATAAATTTAGGTCCAAAAAGTTAATCAATCAATCGATCATTTGACCAAATCCAAATCCGAATCCGAATCCGAAGCCGAAGCCGAAGCCGAAGCCGAAGCCGTAGCTGTAGCCGAAGCCGAAGCCGAGCCGAGCCGAGCGACGACGACGACGGCGCGAGGCTTGCCTTCTTCTCAACTCTTTAAGAGCTAGAAGAAGAGCAATTGCTTATATACCCATAAAAAATCTCTTCCTCTTCCAATATGGGACANCTCTTCGATTCTCAACCGAACAATGAGATCTTCAAGGGACATCTCCTTGCGTTTGTGTTTCAAGTAGTTTTTGAAGTCCTTCCACAAAGGAGGCAACTTCTCAATCATCGCTGCTACTTGAAATGCTTCATTGATAACAAGACCTTCAATGAAATTTTTATTAGTAAAAATACTAAGATTACTACTTTCAACATCAATATTAAATTGAGTTATACCTTCAGCAAGGAGATCGTGAATAATCACTTGCAATTCCTGGACTTGGGTAATAACAGACTTGCTATCTGCCATTTTGTAGTCCAAAAACTTTGCAGCAACAAACTTTTTCAACCCGGCATCTTCGGTTTTGTATTTCTTTTCAAGCGCAGTCCACAGTTCCTTTGACGTTTCCACGCCACTATAGACGTTATACAAACCATCCTCCAGCCCGCTTAGAATATAATTCTTGCACAAAAAATCTGAATGCTTCCATGCCTCAATTACGAGAAAGCATTCAGTTTCTGGAGTTTCATCGGACAGCACAGGAACATCTTCCTTGATGAACTTCTGGAGACTTAGAGTAGTCAGATAGAAGAACATCTTTTGCTGCCAGCGCTTGAAATCAATCCCGGAAAATTTTCCGGGTTTCTCCGCCGGTGCCAATGCTGCCGGTGTCGTTCGGCTTGTTGACGCATTGGCAGTCACCATTGGAACAGCTTGGTTCTCATTTTCATTAGTCATTTCTGTAAAAGAATGACACAAACGTTAAAATCACGTAGATTTTAATAGAGTACAAAACCACAAAGGTTTTACTCTTCCAGAAACAGTAAGTACAAATACAGAAATCAAATTAAATTCCTTAAGCTTGTTATTACACTGTATTTATAAAATAAATTCTGGAAATATAAATGAATATAAACAGTAATGAATATAAACAGAAATGACATAAACCAATTCGAGCCCACTGAATTCACAGGATGACACCCACTAAGTGAATTTATGAGGAAACCCCAGACCTTCCATGACTTGTATCACATAGCTCCATTCCACACTGTCATAAGCTTTTTGCAAATCTACCTTGATCATACATCTAGGTGATATATGTTTCCTTGAATAAGCCTTAATCAGTTCATGTGCTAAAATGATATTATCAGCTCCTTTTCTTCCAGGAATGTTAATGAATATAAAATGACACGTTACAATTGCGATGATAGTGAAAATTTCTTTTACAATTTCAAAGTATGTAACTTAAATGCTAAAGAGAAAACTGTTATTACACTGTATTTATAAAATAAATTCTGGAAATATAAATGAATATAAACAGTAATGAATATAAACAGAAATGACATAAACCAATTCGAGCCCACTGAATTCACAGTGTTTCCTTAAGGAATTTAATCCTCTCCTAGTACCCAAGGTTATGGATTATTTCCTCCCAGGATAGAACGAATTACACACTGGTGTAGTGGTACTTCAAACCCCAGTGTTTCAGCGAACACAAAGTTCGGTAGCAAATCACACTTACTTTTTGCTTTGTTTTGATGCTAAAAGTATGTAGAAGAAGGAGAGGAAACTCAGAAAATTGTAGTTAAAATTCTGAGCAGAATAGTGTTGTATTTATAGCCAAAGTTGGGTCTCTTCAGAATGGCTGTTTATGCAAAACGCCCACAACATAAATGCCATTACATAAATGGCCATTTACTCAATAATAAAGAGGGAAAATAAAGAGGGAAAATTGAAGAGGGTAGTTACTTTTCTGTTACCAAAACAGAAAAACGGATTGGATTTAATATTAATATTTTGTTATTAAAACAAATATTTAATAACATTTCTGTTAATATTTTACTATTAACAAATAAATTTGGTCCAAATCCGAAGCCGTAGCCGTAGCCGTAGCCGTAGCCGTAGCCGTAGCCGTAGCCGTAGCCGTAGCCGTAGCCGAGGCCGAGCCGAGCGACGACGACGACGGCGCGAGGCTTGCCTTCTTCTCAACTCTTTAAGAGCTAGAAGAAGAGCAATTGCTTATATACCCATAAAAAATCTCTTCCTCTTCCAATATGGGACAATGCCCATTTGCCAAGGGAGGGGAACTTAAAATTTCACTCAAAAATTTCATTTCCCTCCATTTCCCATTCACCCTCTTTTAAGTATTTAATATATTAATTAAATACCTTAAAAACCCAACAAAAACTATTTTTATGGTTTGAGAAAAAGCTAGCGTTTTAAATATTTTAATTACAAACTATAATTTATAATATTTTTATGTAGGCTTTAGAAATATAGATTTATTTTTTAAATAATTATATATATCATTAAAAAGTAAACGCGTTAATTCATATGCTCTGAACTATTTCTTTATTATTTTATATACGAAAATTAACTTCTATGGTCAGGACGGGAACTCTTTATGTCTATGTTGACTGTCTATGTGGAACTACCTTGAAGCATAATTTCAATTTAGCCACTAACTTTTAAATTCAGTTAGACCATTTTTACTCCTTAATTGGAGTAGTATATACGAAACAAAATAAAGCGCTAATCTAGCAACTAAGATCAGATAAAAGGCTGACATTGAGGAGAAAAAAAGGAAAAGAAACCAAACAACTCACAGCTCACGACGGTAACGTGATCCGAGTAAAAACTCAAGCGGTGGCGCATTACGCATCCTCTTCTGTCACCCAATACAACATCCCTTTCCTTACTGTCTTCTAACAATAAATGCGCACCCCTGGCGTCAGTTTTGCCATTAATATCCCAACCTATCTATCTTGCGCCGCTTACAGAAAATGGCACCTCATTAAATTTGACCGTAACCCAAGGACATTTCCGCCATTCCATACTTACTAATAATTCCAATTTTCCAAACATTATCCACACCCACCACCTCCCCATCTTCGTAATAATACCACAGATCTTTGCTTTAATGTTCCTTTGACCCCACATTTCCCTACATAATTACAAAATAACAGCTAGAGAGAGACTCAACTCAGTTTTTTCGTGATTTCATTTCATTTCTAACTTTTTCTTTCATCTTTTTTATTAATAAAATCGCTGTCATTTCTCGATGTTTGTGTTTGTTCTTCTTCGAATGTCTCGCGATCTTCCTTGTTAAATTCCGGCCGTTCAATTACCGGAAAATTCATCATTCTTCGCCGGCGAACAGAATTTTTTTGTAGTTTTTTTTTTGTCAAGGATCAGCATGAGTAGCGTACAAAATACAGTAGATACGGTAAATGCTGCCGCTACGGCCATAGTTACTGCAGAGAGTAGAGTTCAACCGTCTTC